ATATATAGTTCCAGGGCTTTATGAACCCAGAGGATGAGAAAGGAATGAAAAGAGAGGAAGAGAAGAAGGAAGAAAAGGAGGTGGAAGAGAGGGACTGAAAAATGGACTCAGGATGTGTTTCGGTTATCTGTTTTCCAAACAGCTCAAGGTTAATGAGAAAATGCACAGCCAGGACGGCTAAGGAAAATCAGGCAGCCTGGAAAAAAATTAGGAGCTAAACAGCCAAAACCCAAAAAGAAATAAAGCAAAGCAAATGCACACACATAAACACACACAAGTGTGTGCACTCACACCACACACGTGTAAGGGTCCAAGATCAATTTGCTAATTGTTTGTGGACCTAGGTTATATATTTTATTTTTTTTTTTAATTCTGGCTGAGCTCTCTTTTTTTTTTTTAAAATGTTCTTTTTTAAAATCTGCTGCATGTTTCCCAAAGCTAAGAGTTGAGTATTTCTCCCCAGTTACACTCTTTGGATTTCTGCCAACAGCTTTTATGTTCAGTGGGGAAAAAAGTAAGCCTGGTAAATATTGTATGAACTGCAGCTTTATTCTAAAGCACCTCTAGATGTCTAATCACTTTTAACCAACTTTTCCCTCCTCCACACCTTACCACATTTCCCCTCTCAAAAAAAAAAAAAAAAAAAAAAACCAAAAACAAACAAAAAAAAACCCCAAACAAACAAAAAAAACCCACCAATGTACAGGCTTTAACTCAGTGTTTTCTTAACAAACAGTCTGCAGTGTTTTCACTTTGGCCACTGTTAAAGATGCAGGCATAGAGAAGGGAGTGTTGGGACTAGCATGTATTAAAGAAAAAGGAACATTAACATTGCAGATCTCTCTCAAAAAGACTAAAACACTAACAAATACAAGTCGATGCACGTTTGCTTTAAACTAGTGTAATTCTTTTTCACATTGGATTAAACATTATTTTGTATACCAAACATTACAGTGCTGTTTATCTCCTCCAATCACGCGAAAAATAGCTGAAACGTGTCAGTTCTGCCACAAAGAGAGTATGACCAATTCCCCTACATATCTTCCAAAATCAGGATTTGAAACGAGAAAAACACAAGTACTAAAATCCTCCTTCAAAAGCTTTATAAAGAAATATGGACACAAAGCCGCCAATTAATACCAGGATGGCACAAATTACAGATTTGTACAGAAAGCTCACATTACGTCAACTGACACTTCTCTCGGACTCATCATGTGAAAGGCCATATCCTGCAAGGTCAGAAAGTGATGACTTTAAAAGGATCCTGAACTTAGAGCTCCCATCTACAAAAGCAGAGGCAGCAGGTGTCCAGGAACTTTGAAATATCTGGTACTTAACACCTTCAACTCACATATTGAGAATTTGAGGCACTCGGCAATTTACAGGATCAAGCCTTACAGAGGTAGAAGAGACTTAACTGGTGCAGTAATTCACAGAAGGTTCTAGAGAGCTGCCAGACAGCTTTCTGGAAATCTTCTAGTGTGAATCATGTTTCAGTGCTTGCCTGCGAACACACAAGAACTGCAATATGTCTGGGGACCAAAGCAGCATCCAAATAAAATTCCCACTCAGTTTGTGAACCGAGCGACTTCATTAGAAAACCGATGCTGTAGAATGAACACAATTTTACGTTCTGCAAAAAAGTAGGGGCAGCAATCACAGCACATGTGCCTTTTGTTCTCTTGATTGACACCCCTCCTCCCCCTTCCTCATTCCTCTGAGCTTCTCTGATAAACAGCATTGCAAGTTGGTTTGAAAAAAAAAAAATTTTACAAGAGAGAGTTCTGTTGGTCATCTATTTACATGTGGCATCACTCCACAAGAAGTTTGATCTCATTGGCTAATAGCTGGTTCATGTTGAACAGAGCCCCCGGGAGCTTGGTGAGCAACTCTCTCTCCGTGGTCTCAGGGTCGCTGTCGACAGAGCTGGAGCTAGCACTCATATTGTCGACAGCGGCACTAGCTGGAGGGCCCAGCTCTGGCTCGCTAGTCTCGCTTGCCGTGGACACCACAGAGAGCAAGGACATGCGCCGCGTCAAGCGACCGGGGGTAAGGAGAGAAGCGGCATAGTCCGCTATGATACCAGCTACATCTAGATTACAAGCCTTGTCAAAGGCAATGAAACCTACATTTGCATTGGCCTCGCAGACGTAGAATGAACCGTCGTCCTTCATCAGCAGGTCAATGCCGCACACGTCCATCCCCAGGATGTTTGACACTTGGACTGCCAACTGCTTGCCTTGTTCGCTCAGCGAGCACATCATCCCTACGCCACCTGAAAAAAGTGAAGAAAAAAAAAAAAAAAAGCCTTGCTGTCTGTAGTCTGGTCACAGGTGACTGACATCCTTCTCAACTGGCTGGTGCTTTTTGGTTGGGAAGCTCCAAAGCAAGCCTGAAAGCACACTGCTGATGACTCAGAAAGCAGCCTCCTTTCCACAGTGACTACTAATGAACTTGAAGCCACAGTAGGATTTAAAAAGATTCTGACCTGGCAAAGGCAGGTCAAGATTATGACTTGTTTAAGAATGTTAAGTGCTGGCTTCTTAGTCAAGAAAGATATCATACATTTTTATGATCCTGGGATATTAAAAAGATGACCTAATAAACCACTCTTGCTCCTTCTAAGGTAGAGGCTTTCTATACATATTTGTAATTTATCACAGGAAATCTTTCAGCAAAATTAAACCAAGCATTCCTAATAAGACTACAGCTCTAACACATATAATTGGAGGGCATGAGGGTTAAGATATGATCATCTGCTCATGTTGCTCTCAGCTTGCTTTCACAGGTTACTGTCTCTAAGGCAAGAATTAGGCAACATTTGTGTCTGAATCTTAGTTGGTCCAGTTCACAGTCCATCATCTAAGTATTAACAGACTCAGACTTCGTCTATCACAACACTTCAGTTTAAAAAAAAAAAACACAAACAATAACAAACAAAAAAAGATTATAACCTGAAATATTTTTCTGTTCATTTCCTCAGCATCAAGTAGTAACTAAAATCCCTCAGGCATTTTGGGCATTTTGACTAACCAAAACTGTACTTACACGTGAACACATTTTATCCCATCCCTGCTCAGGTTTGGTACCGCTTCAGCCAGACAACCCCAACTCCCCTTCCTCCTTCCACCTGCAGGAATCCCCATCCTACACCCAAAGCTATGCAGAAACTGAGTTCTGAGTATGTTACAATCAGGGCAATAACCTTCCTCTTCCTCCCAGACATGTTTTTTGCGGGAAAAGGTTCCAGGGAGGAGCCCAACAGACTTAAGGCAGCACAGCGGCTGCAATCCAACTGTTTATTGCCTTCAACAGTTTCCTTCCTCAATACTCTCTTCCACCCTCTTGCCAACTAACTGGCTGTCTCCTCCACCTCCCTCAGCCTCCTCTTCTGTCTTTCTTCTTTTTTCATTCCTCTTAACAGCACGAAATGAATGATAAGATGGCATTAGCATGACACCGCCACGACCACATCAGTTGCTCCATTTATGTTCCTAGAACTTTCCCCTCCTTTTCATTCGTCCTATCCACCTAATACTTTGGGTAGAGATTGTCTCTCCTTCTGCATTTGCTCAACGCACATCTCGCTTAATCCTCACTCTCATGTTTCCTTGGTAAACCCCCAACAGCAAGCACAATTAATACAAAATAAAACCTGCAGCTTATTTCAGTTGGGTTTATGATTTTTCAACTGAATTGAAAAATTTTGATCAAAACTATGAACAATGCTTTTCCTACCAAGCGAGCAGTTACTCTGCATCCTCCCATCTGTTGAGCAGCGGAGCATGGTGCCCACTACACGGCCTCCTACTACGATGACACGTACATCCTTGCCATGGGACTCTTTAACGTATTTTTGAAATAAGTAAGGGGCATCGTGACGGATCAAATGGCTTAGGTCTGCCAAATGGTGCTTATCTCGTGCCAGGAACACAGCTTTACCTGTATGAACAAAAGAACATTGGAAGATTGGAAGAAGCTACCGATTGGAGCTGCATCAATGATTCAGTGCATAAAAATAAAAACTCTGACGAGTAGGCTGCCCATTCTCACAAGCCCCATCTGAAGCTTATACCCATTTACAAATTTTTCTCTGGACATCAGTGTTCCACTGCTTCAGTGCTTCTAAGTGTTCAAGTACTGACAGAGTTGAGAAGTTTTATTTAAAAAAAAAAAAAAAAGAAAAGAAAATAGTTTGAGATAAAGGAGGTGGTCTTGTAACTTCAACTCCTTTTGGCACAAGTCCTTAATGAGAGAAATAAGGAAGAAATACCTAAAGGATAGCAGACATTTAATTAAGAACACAGTTTTGTTCATCCAAGAGGACTGGACCCGCAGCCTACAGCTTTGACACAGAGGAACCAATGACATGAAACTGTTCAAGACCAAGAGCTAAGAACTCTGAAGTCACCAGTGTGTCACTGCAGAACCAACCGCATCTCCACCAGGAAGTTGCTGAGAGCTGCTCTTCCCACTGCTTACAAGAGCCCACAACTCCAGAGTGAGGCTTTGCAGTGGAACAACCACATTCAGAGGAAAACACTACACTCCACACTATTCACGATAATTTAGCAGAAGATTCCACAAGACATAAAATGAATGGAACGTACTACAATTTTGAAAAAAACTCTTGAGAAATCACTAGCTTTTCTGCAAGCAAACATCTCAAGGACTCGGGTTTTTTTAACCTCAAACATGTCATTTCATCCCCCTTCATTTCTAGAGCACATCAAAGACTTCTTTGTTCCTTTCCAACTTTACTAATACTGATGAAAGTCACTCCTGAAACAGACTCTACCACTTTCCGTCTCATTTCCAGTCTCAGAAGACAGCATTCCGTTCCATCTTTAGCTACATTTCCCAACTCCTCTTCCCCTCTCTTAAGGACTCTGTTATGTGTCGTAATAGATTTATGTTTCGCAGTAAGGCTGCATGATTAGTTTTTTTTGTGGCAGAATTGTCACTAAGTTATGCCACAATGATACCAGAGTACCAAAATCAGTTGATAAACCGCCTATCTTAACTAAGGGAACAGAAATGCAGCAGTAGCAGAACTAGGAAAAATAATATCTGAAGAAGAATTCCATCAAGTACTCCAAAGCCCAACTGGAGGAGCCCCTCTGCTTCGTCAGGATTTAAGGTCTCTGTAACACAGAACGCTGCTTGAGGAACATGGAATTTCTCATCACAGAGTATCAGAATGTAGGCTTAAAAACCATGACAAGAAAGCAAAAACCTCCATGTGCGTTCTCCCATTCCCAACTTTAACTCTCCTACAGGCACTTAACAATTCTACTGTATTCCTAGAACGGGACAGGAACAGTGATTCTTGGTGGGGAACTACTTGGTTCTTGGGAATTATGCAGTATCGTGACATCTTGGCAAAAATAAGATTGGCACCTTTGCTGCAGCAGCAAACTATACAGAAAATGGGCCTAGAAGAGTATGACTTTTACTCATCAGCCAGTACCTATGACCGTGTTTGCCTGGGTTTTTTTAAATACAATCTGCGAACGGCTGCTCTTCAATTAATTTGAAAAAGTTTCTCCCAACTCTCTTAATGTGAAAGGATATGTACTGTGCATAAATTTGCCTTAAAATGTCTGGAATTTAAAGTGCTCTAAAGCAAATCTTGTAAACAGAGATTTACATGAATTCTGGTTAAAAAAGGTTTAAGAAAGTCAACAGCTGCAAACTCTTGATTATTTAGTAGATCTTAACAAGAGGCAGTGTCAAGTCAAATCCACTGTCTCACATACTCCACAGTTGTCAAATTCAGCTTGCTGCAAAGTCAAACTCCAACTTGGCTTCATAACTCCGCAAGCACTTTAAAACCACGTGAACGGGTATTACTGCCACCTGAAGCAGGTCTGATCTTCCTCTGCCCCAGCCTTTTGCTCTCACTCTTTCATTACATCAACACAAACCTTTGTGGGAGTAAATGATAATTCATGTAAGGCATTAATTCAAGTAAAAATAACCCATCTAGACTCATCCAACATCAGTTCCTGAATCTATTTAGTACGTGGCTACAGAAACACTCCTGCCAGCAGAAGGGATGCATCAGAGCGGCACAGGGTGGGAACAAATTGACAGACAGTAAGAAGGAAGAAGTGATGACTTTTTGTTGAAGGTAACTTTTAAGGTAACTGCTGGTTTATGTGCTTAAACTTCAGATTCAGTCTCTTTTAATTCTGATATTTATTAAATTGGGTGTAAAGTCAATTAAAAACAGTGCAACCTCCTGTGCAAATAACCTCTGAAATTGACTTTAAATCCGGTTTCCTTCAGTAGATCACTATCTAACATTAAGCAAAATCGACGTATTGTTTCATATTCAACACTTAATTCAACAATGTCATCTGAACCTGCTGTATTATCACCAGCACTGTCAGAGATATTTTTCTGAAAAAACAGAATCCAGTTTAACAAACAATACATGAGATTTTATTTAAATCAGAATCCTAATTATAGACAAAGTCAAGTAGAAAAAAAGTCAAATTAAGAATGAATGAGCTAAGATTTCATTTCTTATGCCTATTTAGAAACATCCCTAAAATCCACGTAGGCTTCTCTCGACTTCCCTAAGGCCAGACCTTCCATTATTCCAGCTTAAAGCTTTCCTCACAGTAGTCACCAATGCACTGCAATTTTGAACCCCTAGACCCTGCTATTGCAGGACTAGGTTCTACTAAAACTGCTTCCCAGTGTTGCAGCCTACTCAACGTTCAGAATTCAAAGGGTGGTAGAATTTAGAGGTACTGCAAGAAGTCCAACACCAAAAAGAAGACCTTCTTAACTATCATCCCTTGACAAGACAAAATCTTAAAGAGTGCTGCTCAGAATACTCCTTGCCCTCACCTCTGACCTCACACCCACCTCGGTGACCCCGCGTGTTCTTCACCACCATAGGGAACTCCAGCACTTCCGCCTCATCAATCATTTTGGCAAAATTCTCATGACCACCTGGCAAAAAGAAAACCAACAACATTATGCGCCGCCAATCTGTGTGGCCAAATCGGGGATGTAATTGCCACACATTCCTCCCACCCTTACAGCTTCGATAAAGCAGAAAAAACTCTCAGTTATGAGGAATTTGGTCATGGAGTATGATCAGACTTTGAAGGTGTTTGTGATCTGTGGGATACTAACTCCTACTTCCTTTGAAATGGAGGACAGAAGTTGACAAAGGCCTCTTGATTACAACCTCAAAAGGCTCAATCCAATCTTCCAAATCTGAATGCCCCGATTCTACCATCTTGTTCCAGTTTATCCCTTTTACTTTATCAACTCCCACCATTTCACATGTCTAGCAGGAAAACAGCACAGACGTAACACCAGTAACAGTTCCATCCAAACTACTAACCAGGAAAGCAACGTTGAATACAAAGACAAGGCATAATCCAGAGAGCAGCAACAACCCAAGTCTTGTCACTCCACCTCCCCCCTTTCCAAGGCTTAAGCCTCCTGCATCTCATTCTCCCTATTTTCTGAAGTCGTACATCAACCTTTTTGTCTCATCGCATCTGTAAGGACCTTAGAGAGTAGCTTTTGATGATCGTTCACATGATTATGGTTGATACTTCAAGGTTATTTGAGTTGAGTTCAATTCACAGAAGGCTGACCACAGTACCAGAAATACAGAAGAGAAAGTCAGCGGACAAAGGGATGAGACTCCTCTAACAGCATGTGCAGTAAAGTGCAGAAGTCACGCCAAGACACTGGTCACAAAGCCAGCAGCAGCCATCACTACCCTGCCATGGATTTTAATGCATGCCGTGGAATAACATGTCGCTACTCAGCACATCCTGTTTTTCCTGGCAAAGCCAGCTCTCACTGAGGTCAAGATTCTGTCAAATTCCAGAGGCAGGCACTAAAAGTGGCAGGGAGTTATGAACAGAGATGTTCTGCAATTACCCCATCACTCATGGTCTCCCTTTCCCCCCAAAAAAATTAAAACCTCATTCCTGTCTCAAAGACCTAGAGCAACCACACCTATAAGGAAAGGGTATGTTTCTTCTCAAATGTGTTTTCACAGTAATTGACAGAAATAGTAATTCAGAGCAATTGCTGGAAACTCACGTTCTTGTTTTTGTCAAGTTTGTGTTTTTGTCAAGTTCCCATTACAAAAGCCTGTTGGTACAAGCACACAAATGGGAGGAAAGCACTGGTATTTCCCAAGAAGGAAAGGAAGGCAGAGAGGTATCTTCAATTCCTTAATATATTGTAATTAAAAGCAGCAATAGCATTGGAGTAGCTCAGGTAAATGGCTCCTCTAATCTAGCACTCTGTCAGGAACCACAGACTCCAGAGGCAGGCACAAGAAACATTAATAATTAACCGTTCTGGTGGGAAGCCAACCCCAAACAATTGTTAAAAGTTGGACACAAGGGCCTGTACTCTTTTTGCCCTTTCACAGTAACTAACATATTTGCAGATATTTTTACTCATACAGAAGTTTAATCTACTTTCAGGTTTTACCAAAGTCTACATCTTTATAGTATCCTGTGACATTTAGTTCCCCAAATTCTTGTCTGTTGTTTTGGCAGCTGGAAAAGAGTTCAAAGTGTTCTAGTCATAATGGCCAAAGTTAGTTGCTTGGGAGGCTGAGGTACAGTTAGAAGTACTCTTCCCAGAGCATCACAGCTAATCAGCAAAGCCAAAACCAGAATCTGCGTGTTGTGACTTTAATTTCCTTTTCTGCTTACTGAACACTGATCTGTGGAACTAGCCTCATGTTACTTAATTCAACGGATTTCCAAAACGTGACCCATATCTTCTGCACTACAAAAGCCTAGATTATGGTAGGCAACTATGCTTTCCTTTTGATTCAAAAGCCTTACCATATGAAAAAGTGTCTGGAAGAGGCACACCATGACCAGCAAGTTCTTGAAACGTCCAGAACTTGTTGACACAGTTGAGGATGGCTTGGGGACGATTCATCAATCGACAGCCCATCTTCTCTAGGTGGCGAAGGACTGTGATATCGCTGTCACTCTGAACCCAAGGTGTTGGTACACGCACGACCACCACTTGCGGGTAAGCAGTAATGAGCTCCCCGTTCACCCGAAGACCTAAAGAAGGAAGAAGAAAAACATCCCAATCAACTACAAGCTCTTCAGGAGAAGGTAAACAGGCAAAGAAATGATGTACTAGATGTGATCACAACAGAGATACCGCACTTCAACAGTGACCGTTAAAACAGCGCAGCTCTCCCTAAAACGCATTTTATAAGCTCTGCTGTTTCATATATATCACTCTTAGCCCACTTAAAACGAGGACTAGGCAAAGAACAGACTGTATTAGGGCACACATCTTGGGCTTCTTCGCAGGGTGAAGGACTTTTTTTACAGGTTGACACATCACCCTTCCTGTGGGTGTTAGCTGCACACTACATTCACATCAGCAGCATCAGTGGCTCAGGAGGTTCCTGCCTCCCACCGCTGGTTCTTGCCTACATGACACAGTTCATGCCTTTCCCAGCCTCAGTTGCATTGGTCCCTCTGTTTGTGGTACCATGTTACACAACACATTGCCAAAGTCACAGAGATTAGACATGACCCCTAAAAAAAATACCAAATACAGCAGTATTTTTAATACAGATAATTTCAACTATCTGATTTATACTAAATACATACTCAGAAATAACTTTAGCAGCTAACAGGGCAGCACCCCGTGACATTAAGGCAGGAACTAGGAGGAAAGCCAGCTTTGCCACCAAGACCAATGTATTACTTAATCAGGACCTACAGTTTTACAGACTATGTCTGTGAAAAAGAAACACTGCAGGAATGGGAATACAACAGGACTGGACAGGAAGGCATCAAGCTCAATGAAGACAGTGTGGCATCTGAGGATGAGAAAAGACAAATAGGATTTGATATTCACTTTCTTTGCCTTATGTTCAAAGTAAAACTTTCTGACTTCAGTGTAAAATACAGAGCTCACAATGCTGTCAGTACCTTAAGGGTTACAAAAGAGAAAGAAGGTGAGTTGAGAAATCACAGCAGAATCTGCATTTCTGTGCCCTTGGAAGGCCAGCTGTAACTATTCAGATCTAGGCCAAATTAACCACCCGATTAGCTCTATTCCAAAGGTGTTACTTTTAAAATACGGACTCCATCTACTCAACCTGAAGACACATATTGCCAGGCAATATATTTCATTTCAAGGTGCATTTGAATTAATGGGGAAGCGAGGAGAGAAGGGAGGGTGTCCCCCTCTCCGTACTTCCCATTTTCTTTTCTTCTGCCAACCAGGATTACATTTAAGGCAAGCTCTAAAATACAATGAAGCAACCACCTAACTCTCAAAATGGAAATATAAATATGCTGCCCAGTCCTCAGGAGGACACAGAACCACACTCTGGAAAGGCTAAAACAGAGCCATATCCAATACAAACCCCTTTTTCCAATCCCCATTGCCATAATTGCACAGAGATGAGAAAACATAAGCAGACGAGTGCTCTGGCTGCTCACCTCATTAGCACCAAGCACTGCCGCATTGCAGCTGACATGACTTGCGTGTTTAAGCAAGCAGGCTCCAGACACACACACACACACACACACACCATTTTATAAAGGCATCTCAAGCAAGATTAAAAACAAGACACTGCTAAAAACCTAAGCAGAATGTGAACATCAGGAAATGGAGCGTCATCTCCTATAGCCAGAAAAGGACTACAGATTCAGCAAGCAAAAGATGTTTAAGTTATTAGTCAGATGCTACCTTACACATGTATTTTCTCAATTAGGTGCACGCCCAATTACACCCACTTTTGGCCACTGTAATTGCACGCACATCCTGATCCACGTGCAAAGTGTGTTAACAATCATTTTCAACAGGACGGCATTTTCTACAGAGCCCCAAAACTGCCACTGTATTTTTGTTGTGAACCAAAACTACACAGCTTTCTCATCCAGAATCTCTCGAGAGTCTATTTTGTTGTTTCACTTTAAAGTCACACCACATGCTGAAGTTTTGCACCATGGAGTCTGAAAAACAGCAGTTTGAGGAGATGGGTCACCTGGAATTCTCCTGAATACCTGCAGCAGACTTCGCTATCAGATGGGTGTAAACTCAGCCAGGGCACCATCCCCCCTGGAGTGACTCTGGAAGTACAATGATGTTGTTATCAACAGAACAATCTGAGCTTTTGTTCCAGATCCAATCCTTTTCTCTCCTCTGGATACTGTTCTCAGAACAAAAAAAAATTTCTCTCCCCTCCTAGAAGACAGTTTACAAACAAAGAGAAGAGCTATTCAATGAAATGTATAATTTGAATCACTACTACTGACATGCGCCATAAAAATTAGCTGCAGTCTCCCAGCAACACAGTGCTGCAAACAGAAGCAGCTTTATTACAGTAAAAAGGAGAGCCAGATTCTGCCATTTTGGAACAAGCTTGTATTCGGCATTTCATCTGAGACCCAGCAGTTAACAATCAGGTTAATGGTCATTATTGCCGAGTGGACTGATAAAATAGTATTTATTCACTAGGATGCGCTGAATGCAGTAACACAGAAGATATTCATGCATACAATTAATTTCTTTTCCAAAGAACCAATTCACAAATGCAAAGAGGGAGAAACGAAAAAAAAGATACGTTACAGAGGTGTTACTTGAAGAGTGGTTAAGAGGTAATAAAACTTTTTTTTTTTTTTTTTTAAATGGAGATGAACTGTCTTTCCTTTGCAGTAATAGTACCGTCCTGGTCCCAGAACAGCAGTAGCGAGTTACATTAAGGGTTGCCTGTGGACAATGAACCACCCTCACAAACACACAGAAGGCAGATGTTCAGATCATACAGAAGTACCTTGAAAAATAACAAGTTGGTCCATTTGTTGGCTTTCTCAGTGGATGCTCGTGACATTCAGACACGACAAACAGACAGCTATACAGTCCTTTGAAGTACCAACACTGACAGCCAGGAAAGGGAGATTTTATGCCTATCTAATACTATGAACTTTACCAACATATAACAACCATTTTACCGGTGCCTGGGGAACAATTTCTTAGGTTATCATAAAACATCGGGTATTCTTTGGCCCTATGAGATAAAGACCCCTGAGTTGGAACATCACGCTATAAAACCAGATGTAAATCCTGCACTTGAAAAAGACCTGTTCTTTTACTCAGTACCAGCTTGCTTTGTTCTTCCTTTGCAAGATGAAACTCTCCAAAACGGAATATGGTAGACCTTTAACATTATACACCAAGCATCAGAGTATTCAGATGGAAGTGCAAAAGGAATTTTTGCAATGTGAACTGTAAGCACGCGGGAACGAACTTGTCGAGTTACACCACATCCCTCAAACCAAGCCAAAAAGCCTCAAGTTTCTCTCAAAGACAGCACAAAGCAGCACATGATAGAACTGAGTGGGTAAATGCGTGATTCCTCATCACTTGGCCCAACCAGTCCTGCTGTTTTTCATTCCCAAAGGACAGCAGGTGAGACTAAAGTGCAAAGTAGCTGCTCTCTGCTAAAAAGGCTTATTTTGACCCAAACAGATTAGAAGCCATCACGTGAAGCCATGAAGTCCACAGAAAATGGATGCAGCATTAAACTCTAGTGAGACAGAAGAAAGAGGCAGAAACTTCTACTGCTGTTACGAGTGAGATCAGAAGATGTGTATCTGTACCCTAAGAAAGTTCCTGAGATGGTAACATCTAAGATGGGACAGCCTATTTGCATAGCAAGATCCTCAGGATAACAGTCGCCTCTCGACAACCTGATTTAGTACAGTTTTAGGATGGATGCACATATTTTGGAAAAAACACAAAATTCTGGAACTTCCCAGCCCTCATTCATGCATGCGGGGTTTTTTAGTACCTTCTGTCTTCTTGTCTTTGACAAATTTATCTCACGGTCACAATTCCTCAATTAAAAAGCCTCACTCTTAAGAGAGCAATCTTTTAGGTGGCACACATTCCAAACAAAATACCTCAAAACACAGACATACAGACGAAACTGAGGTATCTGCCCATCAGCTAAGACTCCTAACCTGACTATGTGCTTGTTCCCACTCTACAGCAACACACAAGGTCAAATGCTTGACCTTAATCCTCAGGGAAGGGATTCTACAACAAAAAATCTCACTAGCCAACCAGGACAAATAAAGTGCCCAAATACAGGCACTGTAACAACATCCTGTAAAGCTTGCAAGCCAAACACACTTCTGCAAGGCAACCACAACTACAGCCAGAGTACGTAAACTCTTAAGCTGCAGCCTCACACCTTTTACAATCCATAAGCACTGCTGCTCCATCTACCTGGTTATCCTACTTTCTTCTGCTTTAGAAACTCTAAGAAGCACTTCTGCATTGACGGCACTATGGATGGCTAAAAAGGATCAGGATCTCAAGAAACTGTGTGAGGCTTCTAAACATCCTAATTCACACCCATGCAGCATTTTCAATTGCTCGACATTTTTGAAACTCATTCTGTTCAGTTTGCACTCTACACAAATCCCTTCCAGTCTCTACAACAATCGGTTCACCGCAGATTAATAGCTACTGCAAAGCAGTACCTCACGTCCAGTTTGCATGTTATGACAATTGTACTTTCAGCTGAAACAATGCAAATGTCTTCACAGAAGGAACACAGTTTCAGGACATAGGTCTAAAATCTCAAAGATCTGCAAGGACATCAAAAATAATGACAGAGCTGTTATAGCTCTCGTTACAGTCAACATCAGGCATTTTTTCAAAAAAAATAAATCTCAGTAATATCAAATAAATTTATTTATAAAAGTATTTTCATTCCAAATTATAATTTTGGAAAACAGTCAAAAAAAGCAATCTGAGTCACCAAGACCATGAAGTACTTAGGACTCAAGTTCAGGTCTTCAAGTACGGCATGTGATCATAAGAACCATAGCCAGCTTCTTCAGTAAAGAGGTATGATATAAAGCTAAATGTAAAGTGTTTGATACACAAGCAGAAGGGTATCTGGGTACGCTTACATGTAAATCAAATTCCTCATATCAAGCTTCTATTTTATACAATTTGAATCACCAGTATTAATTGATAGATGATAACAGATGAAAAGACTGAAGTAGCTGGAAATGTCAGA